ATGCTGATTTTTTTTATTTTTTTTATTTTCTTTTTCCCCCTCTTTTTTTTTTTTTTTTTTTTTTTCTTTGCAGTGCAAGTGCCAGCTGAGTTTATATCTCCCTGAGGCAGATTTTAACTGTCTTGTCTGTGGTAGAAGATGTGGTGGAGCATGTGCGTTTGTATGGCTAGGAGATGGATATATAGAAAAAGGGAGCTATAGTCCATCTGTCTAGTGGTATGGTTTCAGAGGCTGAGATGAGGTGGGCTGGGGTGGGACCAGGGAATGATCACTTCTTCCTGAAACAATATTTTCCAAAAGGTTTAAAACTGCTCATCTTGGAGTTAAGACTGTGTATTGAGGATGTGAAAACAGCTCTCTGAAGTGTTATGCACTTGGGAGTTTATTTCTTACTACAAAACTATATTCTGGGACTTGGTGCAGAAAGAATGGAAGGCAGGGCCCTGTCCAAGTCTTTAATGCTGTCTTCCCACGTCTATTCCCAGGGCCAGAGCCAGTGCTGCTCTTTGCCAATCGAATTGATATCCGACAAGTGTTGCCTCACCGCTCAGAGTATACGCTGCTCCTGAACAACCTGGAAAACGCCATCGCCCTTGACTTCCACCACAGCAAGGAGCTGGTGTTCTGGTCTGACGTCACCCTCGATCGCATCATGAGGGCCAATCTGAACGGTAGCAACGTGGAAGAGGTGGTTTCCACAGGGCTGGAGAGCCCAGGTGCGTCACCACAAAAAAAAAAAAGGCAAAAACCTGGGGACTGGCCACGGTGTGAGAATAGGGGTGGGTGTGTGGAGAAAAGTGGGTATCCAGCATTCGAAGTGGAGTGCATCTCCCTGAGCAAGGGGATGGGTTGGATGGAATGGGTGCGAGATCAGTGTCCCTCTGGAGTTAATCTGGCCTGATGGGGGAAGAGGCAGGAGGACTGAATTGGGCCTCTTCTCAGGCTGAGCGGGAAAGGGAACTATTTTTTGTGAGCACATCCTGCTCCTGGTTTCACTGTGTGCTTAATTCTCCCCCGGAGATAGGTGGGCTTGCTATTGACTGGATCCACGACAAATTATACTGGACAGACTCTGGGACATCTCGAATCGAAGTAGCAAACTTGGATGGCACTCACAGGAAAGTGCTTTTGTGGCAGAACCTGGAGAAGCCCCGAGCAATTGCCCTACATCCTATGGAGGGGTGAGTGAAAACTTAGGACTCCAGTGAGCCCTCCGTGCAAGTGCTTCCAGGCAAACATTGAAAACCTCATCCTTGGTCACAAAGGCTGCCTCTGGGCTCAAGCCTTCATTTGGCACTGCCAGTTTGGGGAACCTGGCAATGCTGGGGGACCTGCGGAGCCTTAATCTTATTCTGGCCCCTTCAGGTTTCACCAGCCTGGTGAAAAACTGGTGTTACCATGTTGGCTGTCGCCAACTGGGTGTTACCTTGTTGGCTGTTGCTTCTCCCATGGCTGTGACCCAGTCTCATGCTCAAGGTCCCAGGAGTTGACACTGTTTTGCCCTGATAGGGAGTGAGGTGCATGGGACATTAGTTTTCCAACCTGTCTCTCCCTGCCTCTTCCAGCACTATCTACTGGACCGACTGGGGCAACACTCCCCGCATTGAGTATTCCAACATGGATGGCTCTAACCGGCGCATCATTGCAGACACGCACCTCTTCTGGCCCAACGGACTGACCATTGACTATGCAGGACACCGAATGTACTGGGTGGATGCCAAACATCACGTCATTGAGAGAGCCGACCTTGACGGGCGGAATAGGAAGGCTGTTATTAGCCAAGGTAAGTAACAGGGCTACGTACAGGGAGTGCTCTCTGCAGTAAAGAAGACAGAGTAACACAGTGGTTTCAGAGCCACTGGCTTCTGTTTCTATGCTTGGTTCCTGTTCTTACACCGAGGAAGAATTCTACCACTGCTGAGGGATGGTATTTGCTTTGTCTTTGGTGGACAGAAGAGAGGAATTGTCTATTATATTAGTTGAAGGTGGATTTGAGTAGATTGAGCTGGGACTGTTTACTTTGAGGAAGAGGAGGCTGAGGGGAGACCTCATCGCTCTCTACAACTACTTGAAAGGACACTGTAGAGAAGTTGGTGCTGGTCTCTTCTCGCAGGTAATTAGTGACAGAACGAGAGGGAACGGCTTCAAGCTCCAACAGGGGAGGTTTAGACTGAACATTAGGAAGGAATTTTTCACAGAAAGAGTGGTCGGGCATTGGAACAGGCTGCCCAGGGAGGTGGTTGAGTTGCTATCCCTGGATGTGTTTAAGAGTTGTTTAGATGTGGTGTTGGGGGATATGGTGTAGGGGATGACTTTGTAGAGTAGGGTAGATGGTTGGACTCAATGATCCCAAGGGTCTTTTCCAACCAAAATGATTTTATGATTCTATGACTGTGGCAAAGCCTAAGGGGCAGTGGAAAGAGCTTTTCCTTGTCTTCCTGCTAGCTTGAGTCCTGTTGGACCTGATCACATCCTTCTACTTGCTGTCTGTTACAGGCCTCCCCCACCCATTTGCTATCACTGTGTTTGAGGACAGTTTGTACTGGACAGACTGGCACACCAAGAGCATCAACAGCGCCAACAAATTCACGGGCAAGAACCAGGAGATCATCCGCAACAAGCTCCACTTCCCTATGGACATCCACACGCTGCACCCTCAGCGCCAGCCAGCAGGTAACTGCAGAGAGGGTAGAGACCCATTTGAGGCACTAGAAGACCTGCTGCCACCCACCACCCCGTAAAGCAGGGAGGTGGCAGGTCCCAACCCACCATATTATAACCCATATAACCCATATTATAACCCATAGATAACCACCTCCCTCTGCAGAGCTGTGTAGAACTTGCTCCATCGGGCAGTTCAGTTGAGGTCCCTCAGCCCCCTTAACCTGGTGTTACCACAGCTCCCTCTGCTGACACCGGGGAGTGGAGGCTCTCCAGTAAGAAATATTTGTGACTTGTTTATGCAAGAGCTGTTTTGGGAGGGGGGAAAAAAAAAAAAGAGTCATGAGCGGGCACTAATAATGACTGACACCTCCCTTATTCCTCTTGAGTTGCCATAATCTGCTCTAGAAGTGGATTGAGTTAGATACTTTATTTTAAAATTGAGCCCTACAAATGGAGTTAGTGCTTTAGTTTATACCTTTTTTTATTCTCAATTAACTTCTGAGTGGACAAGTGCTCTTTCTCATGTGGGTTTTAACACCTCACCTGCTGTTCGTCCTCTTTCCTTTACTCTTTTTGCTTTATGCCTGGTTGTTTTTGTCTTTGGCTACTTGAGCAGGGAGAAACCGTTGTGGGGCCAACAACGGGGGCTGTACTCACCTCTGCCTGCCCAGCAGCAAGGATTACACCTGTGCCTGCCCCACGGGCTTCCGCAAGACCAGCAGCCATGCCTGCGCCCAGAGTAAGTGAGGTGGGACCACAGCCTGCATGCTCAGATGTTCGGTGGGTGGCCGAGGGTTGGCAGTGGGAGCAGCAGTTGCTTCCAAGGAGGTGCAGCTAGATAGAACTGAGTTAGTAATATTAATTGCCCTGCCAGAGGGTGCTTCATCTTTTTTAATGCGTTCCCCTTGCCCTCGCAAGGCTTGGTGGGTGAGGATATAGAGAAACTCCATCCTTGGGCCCTTGTTTCAGGGCTGCTACTGGTGCCATGTTACCTGTCACAGCTGATTGTTTCCCTAAAGCTCCCATAGGAGCTGGCTGAGTGATGAACAAAAAAATTAAGGCCTCTTAGTTTGCAACCACATGGAAGAACTGGGCCAACTGTCTCCTAGATTCACAAGAGATGGCATAGCTGTTTGATTTGGAGTGAGGTCTATGCCATTCTTTAAAGAATACGGTTGACTTTGTTCCCTCAGCGTAGGTTGCTCCCAGGAGACAGTTCCCTACTACTCTGTTCCCCCAGTGCCCACCCCCCTGCAGTGATACTTTCCTGCCAATAAAGTCCTGAGCTGTGACCTGCCAGTGAGAGATGGTGTAAGAAGTTAAGGTTGGCTGTAGCAGGGAATTGTCTGTGTCTATCACTGTGATGTTGAACATAGAGAAATTAAAAGAAGACCTTTCGACCTTTGATCAGGTCTTGACAAGTTCCTGCTTTTTGCCCGAAGGATGGACATCCGTCGGATCAGCTTTGACACAGATGACCTGTCAGATGATGTCATCCCCCTTGCTGATGTTCGCAGCGCTGTGGCTCTAGACTGGGACTCAAAGGATGACTACGTCTACTGGACAGATGTTAGCACCGACTCAATCAGCCGAGCAAAATGGGATGGATCAAGTCAAGAGGTACAGTGTTAGCTATGTGTGGAGGTCACCTAGCCAGGAGACTCCTTGAGCGTGAGATTGGAAGCCTCTGAGATACACTAGCCTTCTAAGGAGCTGCACTTCATGCTGGATTTATTGTTGATTAGTTTGCCTACTTCTCAGAAGAGCCTCGAGATGACATTTCGTACATAAGTTTGGTATACATTTGGAAAGCCTTGAGTTGAGACATGAAACATGTTGATTTGTAAGCTGTGGTCAATTCCTTTGCTGTAGCCCTAAAATCTGAAAGGAGGAACTTCTAAATACTCTGTTATGTGCTACATTTGGAAAAGAGCCACGCTCCTTGGGAAATGCTTTTTGCACATGCCCTTAGGCTAATGTTGCCATAAATGAGGGGAACAGAGTTCAAAGTTTGGAATTGTGGTTTGATCAGATCTGAAAAATAGATGTTTCTCTAAATATAAAGCTTATTTGAACTTCTAAGTCCTTAATGCTCATTCTCATATGGCATGACTCGACTTGGGCTTTTGCCTTTTGAAGTTACCGTTGTTTAGAATACGTCATGCATTGGACAAGTGCTTTCTTCCTAAGGTGTAATCTCACTAAGGATTTTTAATTTTTGTTTTTATTTAGGTTGTAGTGGACACCAGCCTGGAGAGTCCAGCTGGACTGGCAATTGACTGGGTCACCAACAAACTATACTGGACTGATGCAGGTACTGGGATCCTCTGCTTTACCTAGACTTCTGTCATCGTTATTAGTCATGAAAATTGAAAAGCAGCTGGGTAGTTCTATCCGTCTCATTCCAAATTTGTCTGTCTAGCAAAAAATGGATTTTCATCTCGTATGCTTCTAACAAAGCAGGAGTTGAGGTGGAATCTTTAGTTTAATTCTCTTTGCAGTATCCCCAATACTAATTCTGTAGAAAGGTTTATAGCAGAAGTCAAGCACCGCTGTTGTCTTGCTGCAGAGCTTGCAATTCTGTGTGTTTACGTATCTTCCAACAGCGTAGTATCTGGAGGGTGTTCCCTGCTGGAAAGTCAATAGTTCAAAGAGATGTAAGGAAGGTGATTCTTTTCTAGCTGTTCTCTCATGCCTATGTAGCCACAGAGGTGACTTGAGAGATCTAATGGAAGGTGACAGCTTGAGCCATGTTTCTTACCTCTTTTCCAGCTATGGACAGAGATGGATGGAGGGCAATAATGCATTGTTGTATGTATTTTTTTTTTGCCTTAGCTCTGGTGATTCCAGAGGTCTTTGATCTCTCTCTCTTTTTCTCTCTTGACCTTTCTAGGAACAGATCGGATAGAGGTCTCCAACACAGATGGGACCATGAGAACTGTTCTAATCTGGGAGAACCTAGACAGACCTAGAGATATTGTGGTGGACCCAGTTGGAGGGTAAGAGATTCTTTCTTTGGGGACAACATGACAATTCTTGCATGTCTGAAGATTTGCTAGTTCTTTGGGTTTTTACCATTGTCTTTCTGATACCATTGTTTTACATCCTGCCAAAGACTGAAATTAGAAACCTGATTTTGGATGCTAGTGGAAGAAGATAAGCAGGGATAATTGCCTGTTGTGCTCTAGAGCTTGCAGGAGCTGACTTGTGTTTTCATTTGTTTATCCTGGGGATGGAAAAACTAAAGATGTGGTAAAAAAAACACTGAGAATGAGGCCATCTAGATCTTTATTTATTTCACATCTGTATTGAATTCAAGCTCTTTGCTTATCAACCAGAGTTCAGTCAGAAGGATTTCCTCAGGTAAATTACTGCTGATCTTCTATTTCTTTATTTCACATCTGTATTGAATTTGTATTCAAGTTCTTTGCTTATCAACCAGAGTTCAGTCAGGAGGATTTCCTCAGGTAAATTACTGCTGATCTCAAGCAAATTGTAACATTAATGGCTTCTTGGCTTCAAAGAACTGTGTCAGAGTATTGAGGGATCAGCTGTGCCACAGAAAGCAAACCTGAGTAGAAACAGAGACAAATGGTTTCAATGACTGATTCTTGCTTCTGAATCATAAGACCTTGTGGAACTAAGGATAGGGTGGATAAGAAGAAACTTGCCAGCCATTGCTTTAGGAGTGCTGACTGTCAGGAAAAGTGTGCTATTCTTTCCTTGAGTGCATTACTGGAAGGCCAATGCAGCAAGTGTATAAAGGGCCAATGGTGGAGACTGGTAAATAATTGCTCAATTTTTAGACCTTGAAGTATTATCTTGAACTTTTCCCTCCATGTAACACATGGGCAGTAGAAGGTATATACCCTGGAGTATGATCTTAGGTACATTACAAGAACCTAAAGCTGGACATGAGGACAATATTAGCCTAATGCTGCTTCGTGCTAGAGCTTGAAGGCACCAGGCTCTCTTGCTTCTCTGTAACGCTGCCTGCCCCAGAGGCAGGGGAGGAGTGCAAGCACTCACTTCTGTCTGGGCTTGTGTTCAGGTTCATGTACTGGACTGACTGGGGAGCCAGCCCCAAAATTGAGCGCGCTGGTATGGATGCCTCAAACCGCTTGGTGATCATTTCTTCCAACCTGACGTGGCCTAACGGCCTGGCCATTGACTACGAGTCGCAGCGCTTGTACTGGGCAGACGCGGGCATGAAGACCATCGAGTATGCCAGCCTGGATGGGAACAACAGGAAGGTAAGGAAGCCACCTTTGAGGAGGGGAGTCTGGGAGCCTGAGGTATAAGTCCTAGAGCACAGAGTGCTGATGGCCCCTGCCTCTCTTTCCAGTTGAAAGTGAAATCTCAAAATCAAGACATGCTGAGCTGCTTTCACTGGGAGAGAAAGCTCCCTTTTAGTTGTAAACTGTGTGTGAGGGAACCTCCATTGGAGGGCTGACGTTACCCCATCACTCTCCTTTTGCTGTTACTGTACATGATGATGCTGAGAAAGGGGGCAAGGGAAGCCTCTTCCCCTTAGTGACTTCTTAGTAATGTTTTTTGGGGGGGGCTGGGGGTAATCTGACCAGGTGCTGATTGGGAGCAATCTGCCTCACCCCTTTGGACTTACTCTTTATGGCGAGAGAATCTACTGGACAGACTGGCAGGCCAAAAGCATCCAGAGCGCAGATAGAAGGACTGGGCAGGCTCGGGAAACGCTGCAGGACAATCTGGAGAATCTTATGGATATTCATGTTTTCCACCGGCACAGGCCACCAGGTACAGAGCTCGCCCCAAGCCACGCTGAGCTGAGAGCTTGCTCAGGCTCTGCTTACGTGGCACAGCTCTCCTGCAAGGAGCTGACCTATCTGTCAGCCCTCCATGCCTTAAGTCACTGGGTGGAATATGAGAGCGTGAAAATGATTCTTGGCTTGGTACTTAAGGGCATTGTAGAATGCATTTCTATAGCTGTTGCACCCCCTTTTTTTCTGCTTGTGCTGCTGGCTTATGGGTTTCTCATCCCCTTTCCTGTAGTGCGTACAGCATGTCAAGTTGGCAATGGAGGCTGCAGCCACCTGTGCCTTTTGGCACCTCTTCCAAAAGGTTACAGCTGTACCTGCCCTACTGGGATCAACCTGCAATCCGATGGCAAGACCTGCTCCCCTGGTAAGTCCCCTCTGTAGGAACCTGATTGCAGTTTGGTATCACAGCTACGTTTTGCTCTTGCTTTGTTAGAGAATAAAATGCACTTTTATCTGCTTTACCCCTTGAAAAACCCATTTGATTCCCCTGAGTGGGAATCACTACGAAGAAACTTACTGATAACTGGAGCGATGCAGAAGAAGTTTGTCTTGAAATTATGTTGGGCAACTAAACAAGATGTCACATTTTTCCCCATGCTTTTGCCCTAATCTTGGGGTGGATTCTTTTGTAACTACAAGGTGCTGCATTCTTTAATAGGAACACATTCCTCCCGTGGACCCTCTTTTTGAGGATTGTGGAAGGCACTCAGCTTCTGGCCATGGTACATGCACTTTTTCTCCTTAGCAGGAGAAGACTGACTCCTAATCCCTGATTCTAACACTTATTAGCAGAAGTAACTATTCTATGACTGCACTCCTTTTCAACTTGGATATAAAGAAGCATTCAATAATGCTCAATAAAGCTTTTGTACTCAGATTCCCCATAAGCTGAGATCTGCCTGAGACTTCCCCTTCTCCACTGAGGCCAATGTCATCTCCAGAATGTTCAATGAATGATACCTGCAGTTGACTGAACTTGTTCCTGGCTGATATCTGTCCATTTTCAACTCTCTGCAGGAATGACCAGCTTTCTGATCTTTGCCAGAAGGACTGACATCCGCATGGTGTCTCTGGATATTCCCTACTTTGCAGATGTTGTCATCTCAGTCAACGTCACCATGAAGAACACCATTGCGATTGGAGTGGATCCTCGTGAAGGTCTGAACTTCCTACTCTATGCGACTATCTGTTTGAAAGGCAACAAGTGACTTAATATCTAAATGTCTGAGTAAAGAACCAGATGCAGATGTTACTGTAGGTTGTGAATTTGGGTAGTGGTTTTTTTTCCCCCGAGTCAGAGACCTGGATCTGTTTTTTAAGATTTTGCTTTTTAGTTGTTGGGGTTTGGTTTGGGTTGGTTTTGTTGTGGGCTTTTTTTAAGCTTCTCTTTTATCCACCCAGGAAAGGTTTACTGGTCAGACAGTACTCTGCGGAAAATCAGCCGGGCTGCCCTAGATGGCTCACAATTTGAGGACATCATCACTACAGGTAAGAAATATTTTGACCTGGGAGCCTCTTGCCTCCGTGCAGCATGAAAAGAGAGATTCTCTGATGCCCTGGTAGAATAATCTTGACATTTTTGGCAGTCAGGCAAGCAAAGCCTACATAATCTGCCTGATGACATGCACAAGGAATACCAGAAGTATTCTGGAATACCAGAAGTTCCTGACTAAGCTGGGAGGATGAGCAGTGACCGGTTCACCTTTCTGTTTTCCTCAGGTCTGTTGACTACAGATGGACTGGCTGTGGATGCTATTGGCAGGAAGATATATTGGACAGATACAGGAACAAACCGGATTGAAGTGGGCAACCTTGATGGCTCCATGAGGAAAGTCTTGGTCTGGCAGAACCTGGACAGCCCTCGAGCAATAGCTTTATACCATGAGATGGGGTTAGTGTTGTCAAGAGGCTATCTAGGGGTTAGAAACTTGACTTCTGACCTGTTTCCATAATGCTTGCTGGCTTTTCCCCAGGTACATGTACTGGACGGACTGGGGTGAGAATGCCAAGCTGGAACGCTCTGGGATGGATGGCTCTGGACGTGTGGTGTTGATCAGCAACAACCTGGGCTGGCCTAACGGACTGGCAGTGGATAAGGCTGGGTCCCAGCTGCTCTGGGCTGATGCACACACTGAGGTCTGATTCTGTTCTTCAGCATCGTTTGTCATTGGGTCTTTGGTAGCCTGGAGGCTTGTTTTGAAGCTCTTGAGCAAGCTATCAAAAGAACAAGGGGAACATAAGCTTTTTTGAGAGTATAGACTATGGGGAGGGTGGATTTGAGTAACATTGCTTGCTTAGGCTCCTTTTCCCACTTGATGTAGTAATTGCTAGCAGGAGGGATCAGTATTTTGAGTGTGGGGCTGATGATGTTTACTTCTTTCTTCAGCGTATCGAGGCTGCAGATCTCAACGGCGCGAACCGCCGCACCCTGCTGTCTCCGGTGCAACATCCATACGGCCTCACTTTGCTGGACTCTTACATCTACTGGACAGACTGGCAAACTCGCAGCATTCACAGGGCTGATAAGGACACTGGTGCCAATGTCATCTTGGTGAGGGCAAACCTGCCTGGCCTCATGGACATCCAGGCTGTGGATAGGGCACGGCCCCTGGGTGAGTTGCTGGGCTGCAGGGTTCTGTGGTGACTAGGGGAGCCCTTCTTAAAAGAGTCCTTTGGTGTAAAGCATGAGTGATAGAGTAACTTCTCAAAAATCAGCTTTCTTTTCTTCTTCACTCTTGTTTACCTGTTTTTTACACTTCTCCCTGTTTACCTAGCTCCATAGGTCTGGTGTTTGTTTAATTACTGCATGTTTTTTCACCACTTTCATCCCATTTCCTTCACTGGGTTGCACCAACAACCTCGTTCTCACACACATCAGAGCCACTTTCTTAGGAGGACTTTCCATAGGTCTGGTGTTTGTTTATTACTGCATGGTTTTTCACCGCTTTCATCCCATTTCCTTCACTGGATTGCACCAACAACGTCATTCTCGCACACATCAGAGCCACTTTCTTAGGAGGACTGAATAAGTCATGCCCTATTAGGCTTCACCAGATTCTACTGGCATTGGACAGTTTCCCTTTTTTATCTCCAAAAGCACTAATTCCTCTGAAGCTAGTTGCTGAAACTTTATTTCAAGTTTTAGTCACTTTTTTTTGAAGCATTGCAGGCTTCTTCTGCCTGTCTGCTACTTTGCTCTACGAAATCTCTGCTTCTTTAGTTTCTCTTAATATATTGTGCTCTCCAACTATTCTGTGCCAGAGTCAGATTCCTCATGTTACTCTTTGGGTATCCTGCATTACCCCATCATTCCTCCTTGCTCTTCGGTGGGAGCTGTGGCTTTGTTTTAGTGGAATTTCCCCAATACATACTTCCACAGGAAACCATGTGCTGCTTCTCCTGTGGATACTAACATCAGAACATCACTCTTGACAGCATAACTTCACCATATAACTTAAAGCTAACCAAAACTCTAGCCAACACATCCCTGTTGTCTTCTTCCCACTCCCTGCACCCATCTTCTGGGTTTGTCCCCTCCTAGTAAATTTATGCTGGGTGGTTGGGGTTTTTTTTTCCAATTTTAAAAAAGCAAAAGATATGACCCTAATATGTCAGGCACTTTCAGCAGGCTTCTCTGATGCTTTTGTTTACTTGCCACTGTGTGCAGCTAAGTTGGAACAGAAGCTTCTTTGTCAGCCTGGCCTCTGGTGCATTGTCACGCTGCTTCCCCCCAGGGTTGGCTCTTTCTGTCAGCATTACCCTTTGCAGCAATAATAAAGCTAAACTGGAGTTGTGTGACTCTATCAGCATTTGGCTGTTCCTTTTTCCATGGGAAAACTATGATTAGCAAGGAATGCAGGTTGAGACTTTGCTCCTAAAGCGCCCCTTTCTTCTGTACCTTCCTGTTCTCCTTGCCCAACCATGCCCATGCCCACCACGAGTCTTGGAGGGGAGGAAGGCAGTCTCTGTATGAAGGGCTCAGCGAGACTGGGATGGGATTGAGTCTTGGAGGGAAGGAGGCAGTGTCTGTATGAAGGGCTCAGCGAGACTGGGATGGGATGGATGAACTCAGCTGCTAACAAGTTGTGCATTTATGTAACCTTTGAAACAAAGCTTTCATCTGTGGGACCACACTGATCCTTAAACCATGCTTTCCCTGTTTCTCAAGGCTTCAATAAATGTGGAGTTCGTAATGGTGGCTGCTCTCACCTTTGCTTGCCTCACCCCACGGGCTTCTCCTGTGCCTGCCCCACTGGCATCCAGCTGAAGAGAGATGAGCAGACATGTGACTCTTCTCCAGAGACCTACCTACTTTTCTCTAGCCGTGCTTCCATCCGCCGTATCTCGCTGGACACCAGTGACCACACAGATGTGCACATACCTGTCCCTGAGTTGAACAACGTCATTTCTCTGGACTATGACAGTGTTGACGGCAAGATTTACTACACAGATGTATTTCTTGATGTCATCAGGTGGGTGCCAGTCGTCTACGTGGCCAGTGCCCAGGTCCCCCAGCTACTTGTGCTGGTCGTGCCGCAGGGAGCTGTGAAGTGTGCCAATAAGTTGGGGAGACAGATGTGGCAATACCCCACTGCTTACCCCTTGACTTTGGTACACAGTATAGTGTCTCTCGCTGAAGTAAGTGCTGAAGGTGTGTTTAACCTCCTGGAGACTATGGGGAAAAAGGTGTTAGGGAGGTAGCACTACGAAGTGGCCCTGTGGTTGATGTGAATCACACATGGAGGTTCTGGGAGCTACCCGTTCCTCACTGCCATTTGTCATTGATTTTCATCCAGGAGGTCGGATCTGAACGGCAGCAACATGGAAACTGTTATTGGTCAGGGTCTGAAGACTACAGATGGCCTGGCAGTGGACTGGGTTGCCAGGAACCTTTACTGGACAGACACAGGACGCAATACCATCGAAGTAGCTAGACTGGATGGAAGCTCCAGGAAAGTGCTGATCAATAACAGCCTGGATGAGCCCCGAGCCATCGCTGTCTTTCCCAAGAAGGGGTAGGTACCTTTGGTGGGGTAGGGAGAAGGGCTGTGTGGAGGCAGACTGGAAGAGGAAGTTGTGGGAGGAAGAAGAGATGTGCTGTGTGAGTCTGCAGGTACCAGCAAGGGGCTGACTGAATGACAGATGAGATCAGGCAGGCAGCAAGTTTGAAGATGGGGCAGAAGGCTGACAGAAACAAGCTACAGACCACACAATCTTTTTTTGAACCTGAAAAATCTGGCAGTTTAGTTCATAGCTAAAATTTTCATTAGGCTAAACGAAACGTTCTTTTCTTCTGACACTTGCCTTTTATCTCTTCAGGTACCTCTTCTGGACAGATTGGGGTCACATTGCTAAAATTGAACGAGCAAACTTGGACGGCTCTGAACGTAAAATCCTGATTAACACTGACCTGGGATGGCCCAATGGATTGACTTTGGATTATGACACCAGGAGGTCAGTCTAAGATTTTCTTACACTTGCGTAGGGTTAAGGGATGTAATGATTTTTTTATTTAGCTTTCTTGGCTTGGTTTATTGGAGTAGTGATGTGGGTTTGGGGTCCTTTTTTGTCTTTGTTTTTGTCTGATCCATCTCGACTAGTGAAGAACTAGAAAGTAAAGAGGGATTGTATAGATGGAAGCTCACCTCTTCCCCTGTTCCTCCAGGATTTACTGGGTGGACGCGCATCTTGATCGTATAGAGAGCTGCGATCTCAATGGAAAGCTGCGGCAAGTGTTGGTCAGCCAGGTGTCACATCCCTTTGCTCTCACACAGGTAAGAAGATTTTTCTGCTGCCACCATTTCTCCCTGGTGGGTTGATCAGTTTGGAAAGTCTGGAGAAACCAAGATAGCTGAGGGTATAATACTTCTGTGGCTCCCTGGTGGGTTGATGACTTGAGAAAGTCTGGAGGAATCAAGATAGCTGAGGGTATAATACTTCTGTGGAGCTAAGAAAGGAAGTTTGTCTTAACTCCAGTGGGGTGTAGACAGTCATTCTCTTTAGGGTAAGGGGGGAAGGGGTTGAGAAGGCCTTTGTTTGGGGCCTTCTGCCACAGGGATGTGGTTTTTATGGGCATCCTGTGTCTGTGTGGCTAATCATGCTAATGGCTGTGATTTTTGTTTGCTGTCTCCCTGAGCAGCAGGATAGGTGGATATACTGGACTGACTGGCAAACCAAATCTATCCAGAGAGTGGACAAATACTCCGGGCGGAACAAAGAGACAGTCCTGGCCAATGTTGAGGGACTGATGGACATCATTGTTGTTTCCCCTCAGAGACAGACAGGTAAATAGGAGGATCTTGGTTCAGGCAAACGCTAGTTTTAGACCAAAACAACTCTGGAACTATCGTGCACTGTAGATGTCAAGCGAGATTGGCATCCTTTCTTATATTCCAACTGTTAATGCATCTTCCCCGTGCACGTTCCTCGTCTGCCTGTGACGTTTCAGTCAAGTACAGTCAAGTCAACCTTGTTCTGCTACAGCTTTGATTAGCAAATGTCATGCGCATTCCTTGTCTGCCTGTGACGTTTCAGTCAGGTACATCTTAACTGTGTTCTGCTACAGCTTTGATTAGCAAATGTCACTTTCTGTGACATTGTGTTAAAACAGAAGAATGTGAGCTTGTTGGTTTTTAATCTCTGCAGCTGTGTTGACTGGGCTCCTTTCTAATGATTTCCAGTGCCTTCCTTTACAAGACTTCCCTAACCCTACCAGTGTCTGGCTGTTGTCATCACTTTCTTAGCAGTCAGATAAAGGGTGTGTGCCACAGCGTAGAAACTTGCTGGTATTCCTAGGAAGTATCTCTGGCTGAGCAGGGAAAAAAAAAGGTGGTTGCTCTGAGCTCCTAATCTGCGGAGTATTTAGAAAACTGCTTGTTCCTTCCAGGTACTAATGCTTGCGGAGTGAACAATGGAGGCTGCACTCACCTCTGCTTCGCCAGGGCTTCTGACTTCGTCTGCGCGTGTCCGGATGAACCAGATGGGCGGCCCTGTTCTACCAGTGAGTTTACTTGCTGGGTGTCTCTTGGGTAGTAGCTTCCATAAGTGAGCCACTGCAGAGCATCTGAAGCTCTCCAGCGTAGAAAGACTTCTGCAGAGTCATATGCTGGAAGTAAGGTTGTGAGCAATAGAGCCGCCTTCTGTCCTTTTTGCTGATAAGGCTGGGTTTGGGATGGGAAAGCTGCTTAATCCAGGCCATTTTAGAAACTCTCCGTCGCTTTCCAGATTTGTTCATCTGCCCCACAAAGTTGGGGTCCTGCTTATTTTTTCCTCTGTTGTTCTAGTTCCTGGTGTGGTGCCCCCTGGTCCTGAACCCACCAGGGTAAGTGAGAGAAGTCAGACACCACCTGGCAGAGTAGATACCTCAACAACCAAACCTCTCACGTCTCTGGAAGCAGTGGAAGGAAAGTAAGTGCTGTTGTTCTTTTGGAATTGGGGTGTGAAAGTCACAGCTTGTGCAAAGTGCAACATGCAAGCCCCCTATGATTGTCATCCAGACATACCTCTCCTTAGCCAAAAGAGGCTATTTCAGCTCCAGACTTCACATTCATAATGGGAAAAGCCATTTTGACAAAGAATGCAGAACTCTGAGCTGACAAGGAAGAGGTGCAGAGATCCTTCTATTAAAATGCGTGTCTAGGTTCACTCTGCTGAAGTGTTAAAATCCTCCTGAGACCACGTGATTCATTTGGCTGATTTTTGAACTCCTAATTTTGAGAACTGCTTTCGGAGAGGAGGAGATGGGAGTCTGTTACTTAAATTCACCGAGACATCTGAGGAAGTGAAGTGGTTCTGCCCTGGCCACAAAGGGCTAGCTTGTTTGGGGCAGAACAGAACCTTTGCAGCTCTAACATTGAAGTTACAACACAGGTAGTTAAGAGACTTTTTTCTGCTAATTCCCTGCAGCCTGCTATTCCTACTGCCCAGCAAAAAAAGTATGTTAAATAATATATGGCTGGGTTATTTGCAAGATAAAACTTCCACTTTGTTGAATGTGATGTATTGGACAGAAAGATCGTTGTGCTGACTCCCGGGATGTTCTGATTTTTGTTTCAGCGCTGATACTGAAATTTGTGTTCTGATAGATAGATGTCTGTGTGCACTTGTGTACCTGAGAGGTGAATCTAGAATGACTGGGATATAAAGACATTGCAGACCTATATATATGTATATGGTCCTCTCTCCTCTGGATACAGAAAGACACTGAAGATGGGAAAGGGAGGTTCCTGTTACTGAACTGGAAATGGAAGGGATATTGGTGCTAGCCTGTCCCATCCTGTCTTTTGATACCTTTGATACTGTTAGTACATCTGTCAGTAACTGTCTGTCCTTCTGTCTTTCAGCTGCTCTGACAAAGACGCGAGGCGAGGCTTGTGTACCCACGCCAACGAGGCAGTGTTGGCAACCATGGGTGAGTTCCTTTGCTTTAACTCCTCTCCACCAGGGTTGTTCCTCCAGATGTGCCCAGGCCATTCCAGTCCGTAGTGTTTGAAACTCCAATTTCTGAAACTCAGACTTGAATTACTCACCTGCCCTCTGAGCAGAGAAAAGTGTGTCTGAGGATGAACATCCATCATACACATTCATTAGCTTATATGGGGACTTCTTCAAATGACACTTAGGTCTGGAGAATAGTTCTGTTTTCTTTCATCCTATACCCCATCCATTGGGCTTTTTCCATTAATGATACTCTTTTTCACCATCCCCTTTGTATTTAGTTGAGGATGGTTGACTAGAGTAATTGTTTCCCACTGCAGGAGTAACCTGTCAGCAAGGGGGGGTCTAACTCATCCTTATTCAACTCCATTACAAAGATCTTGATGCTCTGTGGTTCGCTGGGGCCTGGGCGGGAGGAAGGGCTATTATATTCTTGGTTTCATATGAAGCCAGACAAAACCGTCAGCTAAACCTTGGTGTGTTGACATTTTACCTTCTGTGTGTTGTAAAAACTCTGTATTCCAGACAAAACCGTCAGCTAAACCTTGGTGTGTTGACTTTTTACTTTCTGTGTGTTGTAAAAACTCTGTATTGGGTGTTACGCTGAGGTCAGTATTACTCAGTGAAAATTAAGGAGAGTGCATAAATTGCCCTTGCTGTTCACTTTCAGGAGAAGGACTGCACGTCAGCTACATTATTGGAGGTCTTCTCAGCATCCTGTTTATTTTGCTGCTTATTGCTGCTTTGATTATATATAGGTAAGTGGTCTTTTCCCCCCCCCCTCTTGGCCAATAGCAAAATCTAGGGTTGTAGGAGAAGAAAGCTCCTGAAAGCACTTGCATCTTTCTTTATTGCCGTTTACAGTCCCTTTCTTCTCCCTTGGAAGCAGTGTTTGATAATTTTATTTGCAAGGTTTGAGTCCTTGAGAAGTGTTGGGCAGACAACTGCTATTTGAAGCCTTATTGGCTAAATTTTCTGCAGAGACCTTATGAGTTATGGACAGGGATCATCTTTCTTTATTGCCACTTACAATCCCTTTCTTCTCCGTTGGAAGCAGTGTTTGATGATTCTATTTGCAAGGTTTGAGTCTTTGAGAAGTGTTGGGCAGACAACTGCTATTTGCATCTTTCTTTATTGCCGTTTACAGTCCCTTTCTTCTCCCTTGGAAGCAGTGTTTGATAATTTTATTTGCAAGGTTTGAGTCCTTGAGAAGTGTTGGGCAGACAACTGCTATTTGAAGCCTTATTGGCTAAATTTTCTGCAGAGACCTTATGAGTTATGGACAGGGATGTGAGATAATTTGTGTCTCACACGTGTGAGCTCATTTCTTCCAGATAGCTTCACCTATCACTGCCACTACAGCTTTTGGGGTTACATGGCAGTGCCTTGCTGTAGTGGTAGCTGGTGAATATACTGGTAGCTGAAGAGCAAGGCGAAGCCAAGGTTGTCTCTTTTTGAGGGACAGCAGAGAGCTTTCCACTTTGCTGGAGCTTTCCACTGGCTGAGCACTCGGGAACTTTGGATCCTGGCAGTGTGTCCTTTCTGATGTTTCTTTCCCTCTAGGCACAATAAGTCCAAGTTCACCGACCCTGGCTTGGGGAACCTAACCTACAGTAATCCTTCATATCGGACGTCTACCCAGGAGGTGAAGATTGAAGCGATTCCCAAACCAACCATGTACAACCAGTTGTGCTATAAGAAAGAGGTAAGAGCTGCTACTGAGGTCACGGGAGCCCGGCTCAAGCTGCTGTTGAGTATTACAGGCCTTAGTATGTGAAAACGTTGCAACGAGCCAGGGTTTACTTCTGGTACAGAAGACAACTTCAGTGAATTGCTCAGATTCCTGTAGCAGCACTTCTTCCCCGGTGAACTGTGGTGAATTAGACCTGGCTTTAGCTCTCTGCTGCTTCCCCACTCCCATAGTGTCTTGTATTTCATTTCTACTGGGTGCTGGCCCTCCAAGTACTGGAGTCAAAGGGAATTGGCTTCCCTGGACACAGTCCCTGTTAGTGACTGTTGTCCCCAGATTGCTTTGGACAGTCACCAGGGGAACCAGGCAGCCAGAAGGACTTTGGTAACATGAACATGGCTCCTGATAGTGCGTTGCCTGGAAGGGGTGGGATAGGGAGCATTTTAAAGCCCCCCCGGAGGTCTGCCCTGTGTGCCACAGGGTGGGAGAGGGTTTGATAGGATATCTTGCTGCACTTAGTTTTTCCTCTGTTTTCTCCTCAGAAGCTTTCTTATCACTCAGATAGCTTCTCATCTTCCCTCTTCTGATTTCCGTCCACATCCTCACGTCAGGTATCACTACTCTGTGTGTTTGATCCTGCCTCCCTCACTCAAGCTCTGTTGTGTGGCTCAAGCACTGTCCCATACTAATTGCTCTTTCTAACCCTCCCTGCCTCTGCTTGCCACTTTTATGTCCTTAAACCAGGTCTACTGTCTGTCAAGAAAGTATAGGTAGATTTCTATGGCAGATCCTCTGGTCTTGGCTTTAGCTACTCATGCTTAGTATGGGAAACTTGAAAAAGATAATTTCTGTACAATTATTTATGATTATCTGTGAGATCACTTAGTTTCTGTAGCAGGCATCACAGCAAGACTTACACAGAGGAGAGTTTTCCCTGGCTTTGTTTTTCAAATGTGCTATCCCACAGATTTCCCAAACTTTCCTGGCATTTTAACCTTATCTACTAAGGAAAAGTCAGGATTATTTATATGGGAATCTAAATATTTTCACCTTTTCTCTTAATTCTGCTGCTCCTAGATATACCCAGCAGTATGTTTTCCCCCACCCCCTTCGCTTTCTCCTCAGGGATAAATCAGATGTTCTGATGGTCCTTATTTGTCAGTGAGCCAAGTTAGACAGATTTCATTACTTTAATCTCAGTGTGGTCCCTTTAGCCTCTGATCATTCTTGTTGTTTCCCTATAATCTCCCTCCCCTGTATCACTGTGAGACTCGGGCTTAACAGTGGTGTTCCAGCTGTGCTTTCCTGAGAGATGAATCTAGAATGACTCAGAGATAAAGTTACTGCAGACCTAGAATCAATTTCCTGCCTGCTTTTACCATGAAGTCTTCTAGTTCTTCCCACTTCCCATTTTCTTGGGTTTCTTTTTTTTTTTTTCGGTTCTTCCCGCTTCCCATTTTCTTGGGTTTCTTGTTTGTTTTTTTTTTTTTTCTTCCTTTTTAGGCTCAGTATTGTTCTTACTCCCTGCTGTCTGGAAATATATATTTATATATTAGTTGAATTTGAAGAGCCAGCTCATCCTCATTCTCCTTCCATGATTTGAAGGCTCCTGGAGTTTGGAATGAGAGCTCTTGCAGGGAGGATTGGTCTCAGGGGTGGGGAAGAACTGAAGGGAAAGGAAATATATATTTATATATTAGTTGAATTTGAAGAGCCAGCTCATCCTCATTCTCCTTCCATGATTTGAAGGCTCCTGGAGTTTAAAATGAGAACTCTTGCAGGGAGAATTCGTCTCAGGGGTGGGGAAGAACTGAAGGGAAATGTAGAATGGGTTCTGCCATTGTGACAGTCAAAGCCATTGGCTGTTTACGTGGAGGTCCAGGCTTTTGTCTGCTTCCCTGTCTACATTCCAGCTCTGCTTTGCTCTTTGCCGTATTTTTCCATAGATATATTGTGGTTGGTTGGTGGTTTTTTTTTTTCATTCATGTGTCTCCTCCCTAGACTGGTCCTGACCACAGCTACACCAAGGAGAAGATCAAGATCGTGGAGGGGATATGCCTTTTATCCGGTGATGATTCCGAGTGGGATGACCTTAAGCAGATTCGGAGCTCCCGAGGAGGGATCCTCCGTGACCACGTCTGCATGAAGACAGACACGGTCTCCATCCAGGCGAGTTCGGGTTCACTGGACGATACCGAAACTGAGCAGCTGCTACAGGAGGAACAGTCTGAGTGCAGCAGTGTGAACACAGCAGCAGCCACCCCTGAACGGCGTGGCTCGCTCCCAGACACAGGCTGGAAACACCAACGCAAGCCCTCCACGGAGAGCGAGGTCTAAAGTACGCGCGACTTTGGAAACGCTCGTACCCTCCTTCGCCTCTGCTCTGCACAAAAAGAAAAAAAAAAAAATATACAGACAGGACTCTGCCTGCTGGGCAAGGAAGGGGACAGAGACCAGCCTCTCGCGCGAGTGGCCCAGAGACTGTGACTGCCTTTCAGCGAGGAGCTTGGGCAGCTGTGCTGTTGTGGTTGGAGAGGGAGGATGGGTGGGTTGGAACCCAGAGACCCTTTTTGGCTCATTTTCACTGTCTGTGGTTTATTTATATATTCCCTTTTCCTGGAAGCTGCCACGTTTAACTTTTGCAGTGACTCCTCTGGCCTGAATCCGGTTTGGGTTCTGTTTTCTCTGGCAACCTGCAAGTCCTGTGCCATCCAACTCACGGTCAATGCCCAAGAGGAGAGCAAGAGCTGCCTCATTGCTAGCTCCTGGTCACAGAAGTTCCCTGTGTCATTCCAGTGCTAACAGCACCCTTTGAGGCTTTGTGTTGAGGGGTCTCTGACTTGAGAGAGGTCCTGGAATAGATGGAGGATAGTTTGGGGCTCGAGGGGACGCTGACACAGCATCAGGTCACTCTTTAAGGGCATGAAAGAAGGTAACCACAGTTGCCATGGGTTTCTTCCTGAGAGCATCACTGCTTACTTTCCCATCTGCTAGTAAATACTTTAAGGGATTCTCGGATTGGAGCACTGTGTCTGTTGCTGGCAGTGGACACTGCTCCTGTTCTCCCATTTCCTGTTCAAAGATGTTTCTACTCTGGAAAAACAAGAGTCAGCAAATGGTCCTTTCTGAACTGCTCCCTGTGAGGTCCCAGTGCTGTTCTTGAGAAGAGATTGGTGGTGTTCTGAGCTCTACAGAGTTGATGGGAGGAAATGGATCTCAGCAAGACCTAATTTCTACTCTGGTCTTTGCATAACTGATACATAAAGAAAAGAAAACTTTCTAAGTCCCCACCAGTCCCAATTCTGCAAGGTCCCAATTCTCTTGGCCTTTAGGACCTTTGATTACCGTAATGAGGGAAAAGAGAGAATTCCTAGGTCAAGTCTTTCCCAGGGGAATGCTCAGTGCTGACAGTTAGGAGCTGCTTTATTACCAGGCGGAGCGCGTTTGACCTAGAATAGGAGACAATAAGCAGGGAGCTGTAAGGGTCGTTTAAAATAGTTGTTTATTGGATAGAATTGCACTTTAAGCTCTTGTGTTACCGCTAAAAAGCTCTCTTTGCCAAGTCCTTTTCCCATCAGCTGCCTGAGCTTCAGGTGTTCTCTGGCCTCCGAGGCTTTTGTCCTCTAAAAGGTCTAATCCCACCCTCGCAGTTCCACCCCAGCACCATCCGATGCTCCCAGGGACTGTTGCCACCTTCTCATATTCTCTTGACTTCTCTTGTCACCTGTTTGGTCAGAGGGGAGAAAAAATAGAGAAAACATCTCTCGATGGATTTGTATTAACCCCTGGAGTCATATGACTGCTCTCACGGTAAAATCTTGAGTGTTAAGCCGGATCTTTGGGAGCAGAACTTTCCAGTGAAGAATTTCTAGTGGCAAACTCTGTAACCTCTTTATCTCCTGGGAAGACACCAAGTACATTCCCACCTGTGGTGTAGAGAGAGCAAGACATACCCTAGGGGTATGGCTTAGAGGTGTGGGGAGGGTGCATCTCCCAGGTGTTATTTTTCCAGCTGGTACAAAAGTAAAAAAAAAAAAAAAGATAAAAAAAAAGGGAAATACATCCTACTCTGCTCTAACCTTGTTCGTGTACTAACAGTTGTGCTACTCCTGAAAAGCAGGGTGGTTGCCAGCGGGTTGGCTGCACTTCTTACAGCAGAGGTGGCTTTGCAAACCTGGAGCTAAGGCTTGGAAATTTCCCTGTGTTAATGTGGGACTCTTCCCTACTCCCAGTGGGATTTTTAATTTTTTTTTTAATTTTTTTTTTTTTCCAAAATTAGATTTTTTTATTTAATTATTTATTTGATTGACTCCAGCCTGGGAAGCATTGTTTTTATTGGGCAGAGGCACTTTTGGATTGAGGCGTGGACTCGACTGGGACCTGAGAAAGGAGGGCATATCCCTGACATGGGCCTTGCCTGGTGAAGCTGCCTCGTGCAGGGACATCACCTGAGGGCTCAAGGGTGGGCAGAAGAATCCACTGCAACAGAAACCGTGTGTTAGGGGCATCAGAGCTGGGAGTGGGGGGGATACATGGGGGAGGAGGAAGGCTCTGGTTTCTAGGAGAAGCAGGGTTTCTATGGGTTTGGGAGGGAAGAGGGTGTTGCCCCAATGTGCACCAAAATCTTGAGGTGGTGGGACAGGGGTGAAGGGAAACACCCACCCAGACCCTGTCACTTTAGGTTCAGTCAGCCTGACAGAATAATTGCCTGATTTGCAAGTGCAGAAGGGAAAGAGGGGAAAAAAACCCAACCCAGTCAGTCTTTTCAACACCTTGGTGGTGCTTGGGATTTCCACCTTGACAAATAATCTCTGCTGCTTCTCAGGAGGGACCCTGCACGCTCCAGCCTAACAACCACCTGCTCTCTGCTCCCTTCCTCAAATGATTATGGCACAAAAAGAAAAAAAAAAAAAAGGAGCATCAAAATGTCCACCAGCCTTGTCACTTTAGGTTCAGTCAGCCTGACAGAATAATTGCCTGATTTGCAAGTGCAGAAGGGAAAGAGGGGAAAAAAACCCAACCCAGTCAGTCTTTTCAACACCTTGGTGGTGCTTGGGATTTCCACCTTGACAAATAATCTCTGCTGCTTCTCAGGAGGGACCCTGCACGCTCCAGCCTAACAACCACCTGCTCTCTGCTCCCTTCCTCAAATGATTATGGCACAAAAAGAAAAAAAAAAAAAAGGAGCATCAAAATGTCCACCAGCCTCTCCTCTACCACGGAGGTGGGCAGGAATTAGTTTCTTCTTCCCAGAGACGACCCCAGTGAGATGCTTCCTATGGGGGGGTACATCATGGTTCCCCGTTCTGGGGAAGAGAAGACCCTCGTTGCACTTAGGATGTTAAGAATGTAGAAAGGCCACTGGAGGATGATCTCTTGAGCACTGATTTACTGTGTAAAAAAAAAAAAAAAAAAAAAAAAAAACCGAGCTAACGTCAGTGATTTCCGTGTGTTCCTGTGTAATGGTTTTAACGTTACTCACTGGAGACATTGGACTTTCTGGAGTTATTTAACCACTGTGTTCAGTATTTTAGGGGTTGATGATAATTTAATATAAATTTAGCTTTTCTTAACCACTCTGCCTGGCTTTTGGTTGTGAATCACACACGTTACCTGAACACTCCTCCCTGACCTGTTTGCACAAAACCTCAACTGCTCCTTGGAAAGAGGAGCTCCCTGACCTGTTTGCACAAAACCTCAACTTTTCCTTAATTTGAGAGAGAACATCAGAAGGGATCTGGGTTCATTTGATAATTTTATGGTGACACACACTTCTTCTGCCACCATGGCCTTGAATTGAGGGCCAAATAGCCACACTCGTGCACTGTTGCAAATTTCTACACACATATAATACCTCTGACCCTGCCCCCACTTTGTGTTTTTTTCCTTTTTGTTACCATTTTAACACGGCAGCAGCAAAAGAGGATGTTCTGCTTCCAGAAAAGGATGTCTTTTTGGAAATTATTAGGACTGTAAGTGATCTCAGGCCTCTGCCCAGTGGAGAATAAAGCTCGAAGAGCTGGCTTCCTATCTATAAGGGGTTTTGTTCAAAATTATGTTGCATTTTTTTTATAACCGAGAGTAATAATGAAACATTCAGTAGTAATTGACACCGCACTACTGCTGCTAACCTCATACCCCCTTCTGGCACTCTTCTGAGGAGTCACAGAATTGTTGGAGTTGGAAGGGACCTTCTAGAGATCATCCAGTCCAACTCCCCTGCCAAAGCAGGGTTGCCCAGAGCACATCACTCAGGTGGGGCTTGAAGATCTCCAGAGAAGGGGACTCCACACCCTCCCTGGGCAGCCTCTTCCAGGGCTCTGCCACCCTCACCCCAAAGAAGTTCTTCCTCAGATTGGAGTGGAACTTCCCATGGTCCAGCTTGTGCCCGTTGCCCCTCGTCCTGTCACTGGGAACCACTGAAAAGAGTCCGGCTCCATCCTCCTTCAACCCACCCTATAGATCCTTGTCAGCATTAATAAGGTCTCCCCTCAGCCTTCTCTTCTCCAGGCTACAGAGTCCCAGCTCTCTCAGCCTTTCCTCATCAGGGAAGTGCTCCAATCCCTCCATCATCTTTGTTGCCCTAAACGTTTAAAACATTTATTCCTGCTCATTTTCCAGCTGAAGCACAGCACGGAAGCGAGTGCGCTGAGGGCACGCACAAACATAAACTCCTCTTTAATCGATGCTGCTGCAGCAGCAGTGTGGGGGCACCGTCAGACCCATGGCAGTTGGGTGGGGGGCGCCCCCTGATTTACCCCCAGGCATTTTTCCTTCGCTGGCTTCAGCCGCGGCGAAGAGACAAAGGAGGGAAAACGCGGCGATTTCCCTGCGAACTCACTAACCGTGTTAAAAATATGAAAGAAAAGCGAGCCCTTTCCCGCTTTACCCCTTCGCGAAAGGCGACGGGTCCCGCGGCCCCGCCTCAGGACGCCACCGGGGCCGGGCTCTGCGGGCCCCGCCGCCGCCCCACGCCCTCACCGGGGTCACGGCGGCTGCCGCGGGGGCCCGAATCTCCCCTCAGCAGCGGGTAGACGTGGCGGCCTCCTTCCCCGGCACAGCCTCGGTGGTTATTACCGGGGGGGGGACACGGGGGGTGCCCAGGCCGCAGGGCCCCGGTGCTTTCCTGAGGCGGCCGCCCCCCCCC